GTTCTGACACATGCACCCCCCCTATTATGAAGCCAGCTTTCTTCCATTTAAAATTAATTTGATGGTTTTTATTCTGACTTGTCGTTGGTGGATTTTCAACTGGAGTGCAGCTTGAGTGAAACCCGACATTTGACTTTGACATTCTAAGTGTTCATGTGTGTTATTACTGTGCTCCATTGTGGTTCACAGAACAGAGTCATGCACCATTACCCTGTCTCTGCAGCAGCTGATAGTTTTGCATAGACAAAGGTCAAAGTCAGTCCTCCAGTTTCTCCTGTTTCTAGCTTTAGGAAAAACTGCTGTTTGCTCATTAGTATCGACTGAGCTGTCCTGGGGCGCTTGTGAATTCTTAAAACGGGCGGACTGACATTCTCTTTTTACGCACAAAAGAAGCTTTAGCGCTTTTACTGAGCTGCTGATACTTAAGTGGAATTTTTTTACACAGGGAATTTCAGTTGTACTAAAGTAAAGTACCAACAAAATGCCTCCGCTAGAGCAGGATGTTCTGACACTGCGGAGTATCTGAGAGTGAGTAGTTCCCATCTCATCAGACATGCTGGTCCTGACCTGTGCAAAGACCTTGATACAGTGAAAATAAATATGGCGCAGCTGCCAAATTCACATCGGAGGTTTTGGATTAGGAAGCAGAGGGGAGAGACTTTTGGCATCGCATTAATAAGACGCTTTCTTGAAAAAATGTGGACGAAACATCAGCACATTTCAGACAAACTGGAGCTCCACACACACACACACACACACACACACACACACACTCTCTCTCTCTCTTACCTCCCACACACAAGAACAGTATAAAAAACAATAGAAGTACTTGTAAAAACATCAGCAGGACTGACAGCAAACACATAACAAATCACAAACACACAGAGTGATGCCCTCCTCCCCCACAGTGCGAACTAACTCCCCTTCCTCCCCCACAGCCTCCAGACATTTTTCAAAGCGTCAGTATCATCTTGAGCGGCACACACATGAACTAAAACCCGCGGCACTCTGAGATAGTTCCCCATGAACTGAGTCATCACGCTGCACATCAGGAGTCCCAGAACCTCTCACCTCGCTCCTGCGGGTCAGCCAAATAGCCAAGCGGAAAATCTAACAGTTCTTTCCACAGGCTACGGAAAATTTCCCCGACACTCTCAAGCTTAAAACAAATCTTTTAAAAAAACGGTCAAAGTGTAAACAGGGCAGCTGCATTCTCATCAAAAACACGGGATGAGCAGCATCTATCCTCGTGCCAAAAACCAATCTGTAGCCATGGCATCGAGCTCTGTAAATCACCAGACAACTTAGGAAAAGGTTAGCCGGCACTCTCCTCTGGACCTTGCAGAATTGTGGCTCTTTGTCCTCCTGATGATCCCCCCCCCCCCCCCCCCTCCACCATCCTGACACCCTGCAAGACCTGGAGGTTGTTCACTCGAGCAGAGAAATCAACCGCGTTCATTCCTTGAGAGAAAGAGATTGTCTTGTTATTGATCCGCTGAAGTGGAGCACTGAATTAAAGCAGTTTAACGAAAGAGGAGTCCGAACAAAAACTGGTCACACCCATCCTGTAAGTGAGAGAGCGAGACCTGGGAGAACATGAGGGGCGTTTCAGCAGGTCTGGGCTCAGCTATTATTGGGTCCTTAGATAAAAAACAAAAAGAAAAACAGTATATTTGGGGCCCCCTTGTCCTTTTTTTATGTCTATGAGTTGTTTAAGTGTCAATTTGAGACACAGAAAGTCCAATATCTCTCTAAAATGAATACAAGAGCAGCAAATCTCTTTTTTTCCAGCCTCATTAACCATCAGATTTATCTTCTTAACCCCGTCGTAGGTCCCGGCCCCTCAGCTGGAAACCACTGCACAAAACCTACCAGTATATAAAGTAAAACAATAGCTCCACCTCTGCCAGCTACAGCAGTAAAATCGCTTCTTACACATTGATGCATGAGTCTAATATGTAATATATCAGTCACAGGGGCCTTTTTTAGAATCACTTATTCTGCCAGGGCCCAGGAGCATAAATTCCAGTATATGCACCATACATTTGACCTCAATTGTCCTCTGGAAATTTGCAATATAAAGTGATTTTCTCAATTTAAAAAGGGAACAACCTGGAGTCACCCCACCTTGCAGCTGTAGATAAGGAGCCTATTCGTGTTCTGCTTTGGCTAAATTATACAGTGACAGCCGTGAACTGAATGGAGAGAGAGAGAGAGAGAGAGAGGGAGAAGGAGAGAGAGAGGGAGAAGGAGAGAGAGAGAGTGTGTGGATGTGTGTGAAGGAGAGATAGAGACACAGAGCGGCTCAGTTGCCTTAGCAGCGCAGCTTCATTCCTCCACAGTCCGCTGCTGGGAGCGCCGCGCCGCGCTGCGCCTCACGGGGTTTCCCCTCGCACCACTTCACAAGAATGAAAACTGTCTCACTCCGGTTAGTCTTCACTTATTCCCGCTTTTAAAAAAAAAAAAAAAAATCAACTTTGGAGGGGGTTTTTCTTCCCAAGTTTTACACCGACCCCCCCCCCCCCTTCCCTCCCTCCCTCCTTCCTTTCTCCGGCTGTTATGAAGAAGAAGGCGACGGCGGCAAGTTGATTCCCTCTGCGCGGCTCCCGTCTTTAAACAAGCCCGTGCAGGTGTGCCGATAGCCCGCTGCTGCCAACGGAGAGGATGGCTCTGCCGGCGGTGAACGGGAGTGCGCTGGAGGTGTCGGCGGGCTGCGGGGAGCAGGGGAACCTCAGCGTGGAAGTTACCGACTATAACGTGAGCTGCACGAACAACTCCGTCCTCCCCAGACCGACCGCCAGAGCCAGAGGTGAGATCCTCTTCTCTTCTTCTCTTCTCCATCAAAAGGCAACATCTGGCCCCAAACAGATGTGTCATGGCTTATTGTTTTTAGTCAAACTGATTATCTGTGTCTAAATACTTTTTTTTATAGCTATTTCTTTTCACAAAAACAACTTTATATCCGACTTTGAATATTTCCTACAAAATAAAAGCACCAACCTCTTGGTAGAAAAGATGGGAGTTTTGGAGCTTTTACTTCAGCTTGATGGTGTTGTAATTACAAACTGCCATCATGATTGAGTCACTGCTTTAAATGTAATCAGCAAACCTAATATGATTGGATCACAGATATTAAAATTGGGTGTTTGTAACATTCACAAAATGTACTTCTCCGTGCAATCACCCATTTTCTCATTTTCCTGCTCCCTGACTGATCTCGTGTTTTACCAGAAAATGATTAGCAATCAGGGCGACTTCCTCAGCCTCAGTGTATGCAATCAATCAACAAGCAGCCCAATTTACTGCTGCTTCTCTCTGCATCCGTAATACCACAATCGGGGTGAGCCAGCAGCTGTTTTAACTCTGAATGTTTATATTTCTTGCGTATAATTGTCAAATTGCAGAGCAGATTAAACCCAACACCCCAGGAGATAAAGACCCTCGAGCCTTGTCTTCTATCAGGACACCAGTGAGCTGATTAGGTAATGAGGTCTGAACGTGGGCGGGAGTACTTTTTCTAATTTTTCCCCAACTGCTGCTGCTGCAGTATCGAGAAAATTTCAAGTCGTACCCCACTAAATAATTCACAGCCGCTCCTCCCTGTGTGCTGCATTACTTTTATTGACCTTATACACTAGGCAGGCAGTGAAGGTTCAACTATCCCAAGAGCAATCAGACACTGTGTTCGCTGTTTGACCAAGAGAAACATCCTGCAGACAGATTAATGCTTCCCTTGCTCTCACTTTCGTCAGGTGACACACACACACACACACACACACACACACACACACACACGTCTTTTATTTACCTTAATCCTTAGCAGACTTATTCCTTCTCTGTTCCCTCCCCTCAGGCCGGAGCAGAGCAGTTCAGCCTGATTATGCAGCTGTATTGTTGCTCTGATGTGATACTGTAGCACTGGGACAGGAAATTAAAGCCCCACCCAACCACTTGTGGAATAACCCTGCCCGACTCGTTGAATTGGAGATTTTCCTCTTTCCTTGCAGAAGAACTGACTCAGGTTTATTTTGTGAGATATGATGGTAAAAAATGTGCATAAAATTTGCATAGATCACATATTTTTAGCACTTGATTTGATACTTAACCGTCAGCAATAAACAGGAAGTGATGCATTTCTTGTTTAATGGCAGTTTGAGCAACATAAATCTATAAAAAGCTTGGGATATATATTTAGAGGGATTCAGTTTACTGTCGCACACTAAGACTTTGAAAACCCAGTGAATAAGAGGGAACCCCTCTTTTGATTTTTCAAAGGCTACAATCACTTCCTGACTGCAGGGTGTATGCTCTGACCTTTATATATCATCTTACTGAGCTTTTATCTTTCACCAACCTCAGAGTCAAATGTCTCCAGGCAGCTCCATTACACTGCCGCCAACCCCTGCATGGCTTGTTTTGCTCTTCTCCACTCAGGAGGTTTTCAAACTGTGGGGCGGCGTCTCCCTCGGGAGCGGTGGGAGAGTTACTTGAGGCCAGGACACTGTGAGTGAGAGGAGAGGTGCATGCTGGTGCTCTAAAAAAACTCCAGGAAGTTAGTTATTGTAGTTTGGCCGCTGATTGGACCGACTCAATCAGCGTGGTCTCCCATTAGAGAAGCAGCAGGAATATCAGCTGAGGTGCTTAAACCGAATCTACACCTGCGAGATTATCAGTATCTCCAATGTCCTTTTGCATATAAACCTGCTTAAATATCGCAGGGAAACGATGCTTCTAATGACTCCAGAACTTGCCTGAGGATCATCGATTGAGTAATCCAGTGATAATTGTCGGCGCATCTATGCAAATAGAAACTGCTAAGTGCTCTTCTGGCTTGATTTTAATGGAGCCAAAATGTATACAAATATAGGCAACAACAAGACAAACCAATCCTCCTTTAGATGCAGAGTATATGTAAATGACTGTGACTTAGTGTGTTTATATACAGCCTCCTATAAAATCCAGGTACAGGTGTGATTTTATTGTGGTACACTGCTGTATCGAGCACATGATAATATTTCAGTGACTACAGATCGAGGTGTGTGGAGGTGCGTTGAAAAGAAAATGACCTGCTGACATTACAGGGAGATATTTGCGATATAATTTAAAAAAAATATATAAACAATCAATCGATTTTTTGATTTTATTGTTCCTAGATAATTTTCTTTCTTGTTAAAATCATATTATCTTGGCCGATCTGTTTTGTCTGCGGTGCGGAGCAGCTGCACAGCTCCTACAGTAACGAACATGAAACAACATCTGACATGTATCACATTATGGTAATCGTTCTGGACCCGGGAGAGCAGTTCGGTTCAGACGGGGGCCTTGTTTATGTGGTACAAACATCTGTAGCTGCACCTTGGCTCAGCCCGGACACTCTCCTTTCCCCGCTGATTCAAAGTGGCACTTTGCTGAGCTCACCCGGTTCTCTGAGTGCATGTGAGATAAGTAATCATGAAGTGGATCTCACGAGCATTAAATTGACACTGTTTCGCTTTTCAGAGAAACCAACAAGGAGTCTCAGTGGAAGGAAAAATACAGACAGGGAACCTTGTCACTGCAGAGAAGCTGTGCTCAGCTTCCTCAGAAATAGTTGGGGAGGGGAGGAGGGGGGGGGCAGGAGATTATTATATAATATCTAACCAATTTCTACAACTGGGTGTCTTGTTGAAATTAAAATCTTCTTCCCTTTGGGTATATGCACACGGTAATGTAGCCTGTCATAACATGATCACAGTAATCAGATCAAATAATTGGAAAAATTTGAAGCGACCTGTCGAGGCGGAACAAACAGCACGCACGCACACGCAGGCACTGAGGGTACAAAATATTTGGAGCATCCTCCTTCCTCCTCCTTCCTGATAATGAGCTGCAGCAGCTTGGAAATCCCTCTCTTTTAGTATGGATTTACCAGGGAAAATCAATAAGAGATTAAGGCTTTTATATGCACAGTGCATATATTACAGATGGCGAGGGTGTATATTGATGGCTGAGGAGTATGACAGCACTAATAAAGATCCCCTCAAACATGTGCAGCAGTCCTTCAACCATGCAGTAGCTGTATTGATCTGTAATGCCCCGTGTCTGCACGCCAGCTTTATTAACTCGGTGTAGCGGAGGAATGTCGGGAGGTGGAGCTGCAGTTTTACAGGTTATGTGGTATCATTAGACTCAGTGCATATGATGTGGGACTAATTTCACTGACCGTTAATCCTTTGTGATGTGACTCACCACAGTGTTAGTAACAAATCTTAAACAGTCATACTTTATTGGGCTGTCAAGCCCACAGTGCATGATTAACAAGTTTAACGATTCTGATATATAGATTTCCACTCTTTGAACTTTGAATCTTCCAAACTTCAGGGTCTCTATAGTCGTAACGAAGTCCAGTTAGTAATTGGACGGCATCGCATCCCCTTTGGAAACACGGCGCCTCAGCGCTGGCTTTGTTTACATAGTGATTTATGGGAATCAGCTGGCAAACAGCTCAGCTCAATGTTTAATTTGATTCAGAAATCCCTTAAGATGCAACACTTCTAATAGCGACAAGGTGCTGGCTGCAATGAGACTACACTGAAGTTTAATCAATTTAAACAAGTTGGAAACCACTATAGTTAATTTCACTTCTTTTAATGAGTTTCTTGTGGCAGTTTTGAAAATGGCTTCTCCATTAAGTTGATTATCAGAGCTTGAAGAGGTTTATTTGGGGTTGCATTCATGTTGATTGACAGGTGTGTCAACCTTTTATACTCAGAAAGGAAGTTGTCTTAGATTGACTAAGCCATCAAAGACTGACAACTGTCATGTCTGTTGCTAAATATGAAGCTGGCGTCAGCAGCTCGTTAGCTTACTTTAGCACAAAGACAGCTAGCCTGGCTAAGACAGTACATATTGTGTTTGTTTCCTCTGCACAGAAGCTGAAGTGTAAAAAAGACAAAATGTGGTTTTACTTGGTTGTTAAAGACATGAAAATATCTTCTATCGAACACGAAACCAAATATTAATTTAAAGATGTGTGCTGTTCAGAGGTTACAACAACTACTGTAAGTGTAGAGGTGTCTGTAAATGTAAAGCCTTGTACATCAGGAGTAACATTTAAAGCTCAACCCTAAAAGTGGAAGGTAGTGTGATGAGCGTTTCACGTTTAGTCACGTCACCTCCATCACCCGATCACAAAATTTAGCTTGTGATCAAAAGTAATCTCAAGTTTCTTTTTACACTGGTGTTAATATTTTGGATAAGCAGCCACTTCAGTTTGAGTAATTGTGTATAAAAGTGTTTTGGCCAATTCAGGAACTTCTGTTTTGTCATTGTTAAGTGGATGAGACTTGAGAGACATCTATTATTTCAGTGCTGTTTGGCAGTTTTGGATGGGACCTCCCTTTGTTGAGGTATTAACAGAGATATTGAACTGACAAATTGTTTGGCCGTGGGTCGACCTGTCTGTGAAAAACAGAAGGTAATTTATCAAAGAACAGCTCCACACACACTTTTCCTCTGATATTCTGGACGGCAGTGAGAGTCTAAAAGTATTTTTCAGCAGCAGTGGAAATGGTCATCTGGGCAGAGTAGACCAGGATATCTCCAGTAAAAGTAAAACCAAGGTTATGAAACACAGAATTGTTGCAGAGAGATTCAAAGTCAATTTTGGACGAACACTCACAGAGGTAATGGTTGAATCATTGGCAATAAGTTAGAAGTTATTTTCGTATTGGACTTGTCTACAGCATATGTGAGCTGTGAAGTAAGGATGCGGAGGTCGCGGTGGCGGATGGGTACGTAGTGCATTCGTGTTTTTATTAACTGTAATCA